CATTGAATGACTCGAGCGTGTCCAGAGAAGGGCAACGGAGCTGGTGCAGGGTCTGGAGCACAGGTCGTACGGGGAGCGGCTGAGGGAACTGGGGGTGTTTAGTCTGGAGAAGAGGAGGCTGAGGGGAGACCTCATCGCCCTCTACAGCTCCCTGAAAGGAGGGTGCAGAGAGCTGGGGATGAGCCTCTTGAACCAAGTAACAAGCGATAAGACAAGAGGGAATGGCCTCAAGTTGCACCAGGGAAGGTTTAGACTGGATATTAGGAAGCATTTCTTTCCAGAAGGGGTTGTTGGGCATTGGAATGGGCTGCCCAGGGAGGTGGTGGAGTCCCCATCCCTGGAGGTGTTTGAGTCGGGTCGACATAGCACTGAGGGATCTGGTGTAGTTGGGAACGATCAGTGCTGGGTTAGCGTTTGGACTAGATGATCTTCAAGGTCCTTTCCAACCTAGTTGATTCTGTGGATACATCCTGAAATGCTGCAGTCATACTTCTGCTGGCAGCATATATAAAACCCAGAAGGTGGGAACTGCTTGGTTTCTGACTTAGCTACTGCCATATAGGCTTTCCCTCTTAAGACTCAGTTCTAATTTTTGCTAAACAACTGATGATCTAAAATAATTTTGTCACATTAAGTAATCTGAGGTCACTGCAATGCAGCAAACATGCCGGTTCAATGGGGCAAATATTTGCTTGGGGACCAAGTCCCAGTGCAACATTTGCTCAAGTGGCAGGGCAGGCATGCTCTGCATGGTACCCTGGAGTCCTGGCTTCTTGCTCCTGCTGACCAGGGAAACCCAGTGGACCTTGATTTGCTCCCTCTCAGCCTGCTCAGGCTGTCTTGTATGATGCATCTGCTTCTCTTGGTGAAACCTCTAAAACAGACGATCAAGACCACTGTCACATCAAAACTCTACATATACTACACGCAGAGGTGATGAAGGAGCAGTTCCTAAGCATGTATTTTCTATGCTGCAGAATAAAGTCTTTATGCTAAATCCTGAGTAGACTTGTATGGAAGGTGATGATGAATGAAAACAGCTGGGGACTTGATGTTCCTTAAAATGTTCTCAGGCTAAATGGAGAGAGTAAATGAAATATACAGGCAGCACATTCTGCTGATGTTATGTCTCTAGCTTCAGTCTAACACTGTTAGACTTTAACTTGTGTAATACTCTTCTCTGTAATTCTCAATGAATCCTGCTAAATATGGTTGCAGTGTTTTCTTCTAGATTTGAAATAGTGGTCTCTTTTTAAAGAAGAAATTAAAATAACCAGAACACAGAGGTAATGCAGACAGCCGGAATTTTACTGCATAAGAAGGAGGGATATACTCAACAATGTCCCTGATTGGAAAGCACTTTAATTGATAGGCTTTGAAATTTTTGCTGAGTTCTGTAGTGTTCGAGTAATCAAAAATGGAATTACGCTTCCAGTTGAAAGTAAAATTGTTAAAACCACTTTAGATGCCTCATCTTGCTGAAGTGATTTTAGCTGGCAGCAAGTATTCAGTGTAGGTGAGGTCAATGAAAACAAATTCCTGTTTCTGGAATGCCTGGAAAGTGGTATGCACACACCACAGGTTTAGGGAATACTCCATCAATTTATTCTTTCATTCCCACATTCTAATTACTTACGAACTGCTCAAATACAGTAGTGGAATGAAAGAAACAGGTATCTTGCACCATAATACCATTATTTCTCATGGAAGATAAGGTGAATGAATTCCTTCAGCAAAGTAATGTTAATACAGACATTTTTTTAAAGTGTCAGAATGCCACAGCCCTTCAACTGAGGAAGGATATATGTTCATGTATTTTCAGAGCCTCTATTCCATAGATAATCTGATTTTAAAAAGTTGGAGTACTTCTATAATATTTTTTACTTAATGTGCACCTTTTATGAACTGAGAGTGCTTTTGAATTTTTAATCACATTGTGACTGGCTGAAGTACCCACAGATGCTTGTAGGTCAAAATCTACAAATTAAATGTCCTGACCTGATATATGCTATATAATTTTTGGTTATGATGTATCTCCTCTCAGTTTCTCAGAAAAGGAGGCAGAGAGAACTAATAAGTAATTTCACTTCATTCCCTCTCCTCCCTTCAGTTGCTACAGGACACAGATGAAGTTCTTTGCATGCCCTCCATACATTTTTATGTCTTAAATAGTAAGATCACTTTTTAGGGGTATAATGTATCCTCAATATTTCTCCAGTAAAGCAAACTCAGAGATTAAGAAACTACTGCAATATTTTCTAGTAGGACAAGAAACCTAAAAAACATTTTAAAAGTGTGACAAAATGCAAATTTTGTGGCAAATATGCTGAACTCTGGGAAAGTCCCTAACAGAAGGCTTGGAAAGTGAGTGGGATCAAAGGAACTCTGAATTGCCTTTTTTATCACAATCAGATTACCTGCAGATGTTGTTTCATGCTGTCTGCACATGCAGGTAAATAATGCTATGAGGCTTGAAATGTGGTTATCACCACAAATAGAAGGGCTAGAAACATTTGACACCCATGTCTCTTGTATATAAGCGTGTACCAGTAAGAATGTTTTATAGGCAGACACTGCAAGAAACTGTGATGAATATAAAGGGTCTAGAAAGGGAATTACTTTTTCTTTACAACAGCAGCAGGTTGACAAAAAGAACAGGAATTTGATTTTCAGAATTAATTGAGGTTCCAACACAAAGCCATAACGGTAAAGAATGATGGATGCACTATGACATTTCAAAAATTGCTTAGTGATAAGGCCAGTAAGAAGTGATATAATTAGAAACAGAGGTAATCAAAACATGGAGAGAGTTACATTATAAGAGAGGACAACTCATATTAGTTAAGAAGCAGTGATCAACCAAGGTATGGTTTCTAATTTACATTTTACTTATTAAAACTATGAGGGATGTTGCCTAATTTGTTGTATTAGCAAGTTACCTCTAAAAATCAAACAACAGTTTGCCACTATATACTAGCGATTCAAATAAAACTAGACCAATGAATGTACCCTCTGGAAGAATATGTGAGCTAATCATACCTAATACTCATCTACTTAACACTTTCAGCAGAACAGACACGAAGGAGAAAAGACACAATGAAAAAAAAAAATAATCAGTAAATATCACTAATTTGAATTCAGTTTGCTCAGAGAAAAATCAAGATGCATTTTATTCATCAGCTTCATTGAGCTGATGTTCAGAACAAAATTATCTATCTCCATGACTGTTTTATTTAGGAAACATTCAAAATTAAAATCCAGGGGAACAAAATCTTTATAGAAACACAAGGCTAAGTGATAATGCAAATTAATTAATCCACTAGGGTTGCACTTATTAACACATCTCAACTCAGTTGCAAATCACAGTGAGTTTGTAAGCTTCCTATCTTAGTAGGTTTTTGCTTCATTCATTTTAGAATTGTCATGCAATTAATTTATGATTAATGGAAGAATGGAGAATGAGGGGTTGTGTGTTGCAGACTCCTATCTTTGCCCACTCCATTTTTTTCCCTATTATTTAAACATTTTAACATTTAAACTGTGTGCACATAATACCTAGACAAATAAAACTTTCAAGTTCTTTTTCTGGTAGGTATTAGATTATAAATTAGATGTAGCACAGCAAGGAATGACAAATACACAGAGAATACTAAGGAAAGAATATAGTAGAATGATGCTTATTATTCAGGAGATGAGAACTCTGCAGATGTTTGTTCACATCTTTTTAGATCTCTTTTTTTTTTTTTGTCTGTTTTGTTTGCTAACATACTGAGCATCACTCAGCACGATGACTAGACAGAGGTCATCAATCCAATGCTAACCAGTAAGTTTTGTGAGAGATGATTAAGGACTCCCCCAACATTTATACAAAATATTTCACATATTTAAGATCAAACA